ACTATTTTAATACGTAATACATATAATATTATCAAATTATTTTATTTTTATCATAAAAATATATATATATATATATAAATGTTATGATTTATGTATGAACTATTGACATCAATTATGTTGAGCTAAAAATTTGTAAATCTATCGCATAAAATTACTCTGTTAAATGTTGTTCATCGTATTTATTTTCAAATAATTGTTTCTAGAAAATATTGTGTGAATAATAAAATATAAGTAGGTACGGTTTACTCGATCGATGGAATGATAATATGTAGGCCCCTATACTTAAGTGCTGGAAGTTTTTCAAGAACCATAGATATTAATTTGCTCTCAGAAATCATTATAATATGAGGCATATTATACTATGTATAGCATCTCTAGCAGAATAATTTTGTTTCCTACATGAGATGACATTTCAGTGTTAGTGTGTTGCTGAGGAACGTGCGAAGCGTTAGAATAATAATAATATCAAATTAAAAATATCCGAATYAACCTAACCTATATAATCATAGACATATCAATAAAATATGTTTATGATGAGAGGTGTATAACATCTAGTAGCTATATGTATAGGTAATGAAATAATTTAAATTATATACGCATGACATGGTTACATAATAGAATATWACAGAAGAGTTTTTTCGAACATAAGTTGTTCGGTAAGATTCCTAGGTCTGACAAGTATAGTAATAATAGTAACAATACGACTATTTATGAACATACAATCGAGTCGTGATAATTCGAAAAACATGAAAACTTGAATTTTTTTCATTCCCCTAGAAAATTCTTCCTCTATTAATTAGTTAGATATTATCTCGAATCGAATTATTATCATCTTTTAACTTCGAGTTATCGCGACTGAATTGAATATTATATCACTAYTGAAATATGTCTTATTTTCTATTGACGAGTTGACACTGGTTATTAACAGTTAAAATGTATTGGATTATTTGGATTAGACGTTAATGGTTCCAAAAACGTGAAATAAAAGGCGTCATGCTTTTCTCTATTCACAGATAAGTGCTTTATTAGCTCGAAACCAAATGTTTAAAATAGAGTCATACATTGTTAAGCCCAAAAACGAAATGTCACAATTTCAGGTGTACTTAATCATGTTTATAGACGGTTGTTTTACATTTTTAGGAATTAAATTTGATGAACGCAGAATATTATTATTGTCATCGTTGTTCTTACCTTATAGATTTAAGGCGTAAGTCAAAGTTTTGTAGTGACCTGTAAATTACGAATACCGTTTGACTTTTTAAATAAAATACRACTTTTTTTGGGAGCAATTGTCAGTGTAACTGTGCAAGTATAATAAATACACAAATAATATGTCGGCATAGTATTTTTCTTTAAGATGAAAATATATTTAAATACTGTGTAGTGCTGTAGTAAAGTTTTATGGTATGAGTATAATGGTATCGCCAAACTCTTAATGGYTTTTTATTGTCAATAATGATTGAACCATTCTTATTTATCATTATTTTCTGTATTAAATTTTTTTTTTTAAATTTAAAATTAAAAAAAAAAMSGKTTWRGSMAMMWTTTTWWAMYKRAAWTWMYTWARRWTWWT